AAGTATAACAACTCAGACAAATTCATCTACAGCCCGACTTTCAACCATTTCAGTGTTCCGGTAGGTGCAACTTTATTTGTTTCAGTTTTTGCAACTGACAGGAAAAAAAACTGGTTGTCAGAGGAATAGTGTGAACTGAATTTATAGCATTATTAGTGGCCAACGAAAGTCGAGAATACGCATTCGGAATTACTTTCATCAGCCCATGTTCTCTAATTTTCTATCACTATAGTGTCCACCAATCACAAACCGTCGATTGATAGAGCTGTTTAATAAATAATGAGTAGTTGATATTGCTTCATGCAAATGACAGCTTATTCATTTTAAACAGAACCCTTGCTCCAGCGATCCTTGCATGAACGGTTCAACTTGTGTGGCCAAGTACATCGATGATGATTATCAGTGCGCATGCTCTCCAGGATTTAAAGGAAAACACTGTCAAATAAAAATAGGTGTGTCGACGTAGCATGTTCAATTTATTACCATCCAACTATATCTTGCTCAGTGCTACATTTATTTCGATATCTATTGCGACGTGAGTGAGTTTTATTCTGATTTTTTTCCTTTCCCAAGCTCCGGGGAAAGACTGCAAAGACATTAAGATGCGAGGTGATTCAGGGGGAAATGGTATGTATCAATTGGACCCGGATGGAGGAAGCCTTTCAAATGCATTCTGGGCCTACTGTGATATGACGTCATACAATGGAGGCTGGACCATGTGTTACACTACCGACGAATATGTCAAACCCAGGACCGAGGTCACTTACAATGCCTCTTTTCCTTATGGAACTGTCGGCTACAGGACCAACTGCAACAACATCTCTGTAAGCTGATTGAATAACCTCTTATCTCTGTGAATATGGATCGCTTAGTATATGTGCGTATGGATCTCGAAATACTACTTCATTTTTAGTTTTTTTGCATGACACTCACATAGGTGTTTCGATGTACATAATTGTTTGTTAGTATTTTTTTTATTAAATTCAAGAAAATTTTTTAAACAATTCTCTCCTTATGTATAATGCATTTCATATACACTGA